CACACACTTTTTTACTATAATATTTGTTTCATCTATCACTCACAGCTCATAGTTAGGTAAAAACAAAAGTTTTGAATATTTAAAAATTTATTTATTAAAGTAAAACCATCAATCAATGTCAAACAAATGAAAACTTATAAGTAAGCTTTAATGTAAACAGATTAAACACACTGAGTTTAAAAATACGTCAAGGCCTGGGGTCTCATTTATAAAGGATTGCATGGAAACCATACTAAAACTGAACGTACGGCCAAAAGGTGAAAATGGCGTACGCCAAAAAAAAAAAATCAAATTTATAAAAGCGTACGTACGCATGTTTCTGAGCATTGTTCCTTAATAAATCACAGCCAAATTCAGCAAATTGTTGTGTTTATAAAGAGTTCATCTGGTCCCAAATGAGGCAGTGGTCATGTCCCCCTATAGTGGTCTGGCTTAGTTACTGTTTGCAATCGATCTTTTCTGTGTTCCATGCATAATGTCTGTTATTTTGACAGGTAAAAGAATTRTACTTGTAAATTTGATTCGTACTTGTAATGTGGCAAAGTTGTAACAAATTTATGTACGTTTATAGACTTACATGTACAAATTTAGACTCTTACACATTCTATGATTCTGACAGTTATCTTATCCCATACAGGAGGGCTGCAGATATTTTGAAAAGTACTTTAGGAAAAGAGCATACACATTATTTTTGATAAATAATTTCACAAAGTGAACAGCAAACTGAGAATAAATTAAGTGTGACAGCATTATTATCTACCTCACATCTGGAGAAAGTATCTTATTTAATGAACAAAAACAGCACATTAATTAACAGAACATTATTTCTATTATTGTGATAAACAATCAATAATAATTAAAGATAAATACATGTAACACACAACAAGTAAGTTAACATACTGACTAGTTTTAACAGTTTGATCTGCATTAGTTTTATTAGTATAGTTAAATCCAGGTGTTCCTTCTTATCTTTGCACAGTTTTCTAAAAATGTAGTTAAGATCATACGCAAGTTCATCCAGATTTGTTTTACTTCTATGGGGTGATAATCTCATTATGCCTTCCCAGTATGGCCTCTGTGTCAACAGCATAATCTAAAAACAAATCAAAAAACATTTAAACTCATAATCAAAGCCATTCCAACGGCTGTCTCATGTTTAATTGCAGGTTCATTGGCTTATTCACCTATTGTTCCATGTTTACCACAATTATTATTTGGAAATTACTCTTTCAAAGATTCCAAGTTTTCCAATAAAATTATTCGACACACTTTCGATCATATTATTTATCCCACCCTGCCATTTAAAAATTCCATTCGTCAAAATTTTCCACCACAATCAATCCATAAATTACGTACTAAATACCTCAAATTTCCAATTGCACCAAGAGCCAAAGAAATCCACTTTAAAACTTTAAATGGAATATATCCATCTAATTATTTTATTCATCAGAGGTTTGGTATTGAAACAAATAATTGTGTTTTTTGTGATGATACTGAAACAACAGAACATTTAATCTTTCAATGCATGTATGTTGAAACATTATGGTCTGATATGTTTGACTGGTTATTTCCCAAAGTTCCCAGTCTCCAAATGTTCTCTGAAAACAATATAATTTATGGACTTATTATGGACAATAACAACAGTGACTTTCTCATCAACACTATTATCAGACCCAAACCAGTGGTTATTCCGTATGTTGCGGGTGTTTCGGAGAAACTGAGACGTTTATTTTCTAAACATGATGTCCCAGTGGCTTTCAAACCCCAAAACACATTACGGCAAAGGCTGGTTCACCCCAAAGATCCGGTGCCCCGGCACAAACAGAGCAATGTTGTATATGCTGTTAAGTGCCAGGAGGACTGCGACCAGTTATACATCGGGGAAACAAAGCAGCCACTGTTCAAAAGAATGTCCCAACACAGACGAGCTACATCTAATGGCCAGAACTCTGCAGTTTTCACTCATTTACAGGCCAGCGGTCACTCTTTCAGAGATGAGGATGTTCTCATTCTTGATAGAGAGGAACGTTGGTTTGAGAGAGGAGTAAAAGAAGCCATTTTTGTAAAGAAAGACCGTCCATCATTAAACAGAGGTGGAGACCTCCGTTTTCAGCTGTCCCCCTCCTACAGTGCTGCTATTGCCAGTATCACTCCATCCCCTGTTAACAATAAGTGTTAATTAGGTGTCAACGATAGCCATGTGATGTGAGTATCAGTCACATGGAGGCAGKGCTYAAAAGCCTGAATTTTGCCTGAAACTCTCAGACTGAAGAAGTCTCTTGGAGGAGAGACGAAACGTTTCATTAGAGAAGAACCCGTCCAGAAGACCTAAACAATTTTTTTTTTGATTATTATAATTCTGGGGAAATTTTTCATCCATAAAGCTAAATATCTTAAGGTTAAACCAAATTTCTATCATTTTCACAATGACTTTATTTTGTACTGCAATTCTCTTAAAGTGATGCACACTAAACATGCCCACAATCTGTGCTCTTTAAAGGAAGAGTATGATTTAACATCTAAACCCTAGCCTTTTTTTTTTTGTTCCTTCTTATTTTTAAACTTCTTATCTTTATTTGCACTCATCCTTTTCTCTTATATGCATGTTTGTTTGAAATACCCCTTATTGTTTTGTACATTGTATTATTTTGTGTGTTCTTTGTTGTTTAATAAAAAAAGCCTTCCCAATATGGCGGCGGTGTTGACGTCTGAGTTCCTCTTCAGCATGTGATCGAATACCCGTCGCCATTTTTAGGAAACATTTTATATTACATTTATATTAACTATTTTTTATAGTAATAAATAAATAAAATCCGGCTAAGTCATCAGAATGTTTTTGTATTTGTTAGTATCTATTTATTAACTGAAAAAGGAAGCACTTGAACTATAAAAATGTGCAGTTATATCGAGACGAACATCGTTCACCACGTGAGGCACGCCATTACGTCCTTGACTAGAAAGGCAAAGACAACTTTCCACCATTTTGTTTGTGCGAAACCACACGAAAACACGCCCCGTGACGTCAAACTCGTCACGCAGTATAAAAGGGGAAGACCCTCCTCTGCAGCTCATTCCTGGATTTAGTCAAAGGTAAGTCAAGTCAGAGGAGATGTTGACGTTGTGAATGTGACAGTCGTCTTTTAATACCAAATTAATATTGGCTAAAAAATAATAAAAAAAAAACACTTTAATGTAGTTCCAGACGTGGAACACTATATTAACAATTAAAAAGTAATTATATGTTTTTGTGTGTGTTTTTTTCTGCAGGGTTCAGTTCGCTTCTGAAGACTCATCGAGGACTTTGAGCAGCTTTTCTCAATTGAATTTTTTTCTCAAGTAATGGACATTTGATTTACTATTTTTGCCTCCAGTTTCCCCCCCGAAGGAAAAGGCTTTAGCTTTAGCATCTTAGCTGCCACAGCCCCACCCATGAGGGGGCCTCATTTTGAACAATTAAAACGACATAAAAATGATGAAATGTGAGCTATAAGTTCCTGAAAAAGTACACCATAATATACCCGAGACGCTGAGGATCTGTAGTAACAATAGTAAGTTGATTTTTGAAGTTAAAATTGAATCGACATAAAACGAGCTTCTTGTCGTAGATGCTAGGCTAGCTTAGCGGTAGCCTGGCTAGCAGGCGTCGTGGAAAACAGCTTGTTCTTCTAGTATGAGCTCACACGGTGAAGTCACGGACTGGATCCGTGCCTTTGCGTGTGAGACGGAATGAACAAACTTAAAATAAAACATATATATATAAATGTTGGATTTCGCATAATTACCATAAGCAATCTCCTCATAAAGATTGCCTTAAGCATAAAAGGAAAGCAGCACATGATCATGATGAAATCGGACTTTTTGCCTGACAGACAGAGAGCCGCAGTCTGCACATAAAGACTGCTGCTGGGGAGATGGAGGGTGTATTTATTATCAAACAGTTGTGATAAAAGCAGCACGGAGAGAGGACACTGGATTTGGTTACTTGCTGGCCCGTCCTTGGACTAGCGGCGCCGCTTTCCCCCGGCTTGGAGCGGCTGTTTTGGGACGGCGTTGCCCGGCTTTGGTGGTTGTTTATGAGGGGGTAGAAGAGGGGGTAGAGCCGGGCTGGAGGTGTAAACAGAGGGAGGGCTGTGATCAGTGCAGCTCCCTCCCTCTTTTCACTCTTAAAGCAGCTGCTCAGTTTAATAAGCCTTTACAGGCTGGGCCATCAAATCCTGGGCCTTTTACTATGTTATTTAATTATTCATGTGTCTCCTTTGTAAACCTGCTTTGCTACTTTAAAAAAAACTATAAATTTAGATGTGTTTTTGCAGTCAAATATGCTTTAACGTGTAGAAAATGTGCCAAAGCACCCCCTATGGGTGTCCCTGCTTTAAAATGTGTATATGTGTCAAATAACCCACATTTTCAGGAGTTATTTGCAGTTGTGGAGACAAAATAAAACCTTAGATGAGTTGTTGCAGGTAAGACTGAACCGACTCTGACATTTCAGGACGTCTAAAGCTTGTAAACGAGCACAAAAACCAGTTTAAATCCCAACTCTTAGAGCATAAATATAAATATATTAAATGTTGCTTCTATAAACCAGTCCAGGCAGGTTTAAGTGGTGTTTGTTGGGCCTCGTTAGGCTTCATTTTAAATTAAATTAAATAATAAACACGCAGCAGATTTGGGTTATAGGTTTCTCCTTTAAACATTTGTCTGTATTTTAACTCTTCTCTATAAGAAATGCATTTGAAGTAAAGTTTTAGTTAGGGCATAATGAAAGTAAACTCACCTGTTGGTGGCAGTAAGTGTCCTAATTTATACTGGCATGATTACCAGGCTTTGATCTGTGCTGAAACTGTTCTTCTGACCACTTCTCATGCAATTAATACCTTTTTATAACATTTTTATGCTGTTAGAAATCAGTGCACTTAGTTCAGCTTGATTACTTTTGAATAATTAAAATGTTACTAATATTTTTCTAAATTATTCAGTTTTTTATAGAGACTCGATCAGATATTTATACCCATTAATTAAACATAAATAATTAGTGAATACATATTAGTTTTTATGCATTTTAAATAAAAAATTAAAACTTTTAATTAATGAGTTGGTTTTCTAAATATGTGACGCTTGTCTTTTTTCTTTCTATAGCCTAAGTAATACATGCATTAATAAAAATAATTCATTTCACGTGTGTTTGACTTGCACAATGAACACCGGGTTATTTATTTTTTTTTAATTGGTTTGCAAGGACAATGAGGAAGAGCTCAGCTGCAAACCTGCAGTTAGTTTCAAAGTGAAATTAAAACAACCCTGTGGATTATCATCAGACTGGTTGATGGCTGAGGTTCAGTCAAGCTTTTTGTTTACGACCGCCTCAGTGTTGAAATAATTCAGAGTTGCTTCAAAATGGAGTTTTCCCTCAGTTGTTTTGTTAAATCGATGAGTGCGATGGTGTTTGTGCACACCACCAGCCACCTCTGAAGGAGATGATTGAAAGTGTTGCTGATGTCGCGCTGTTTGGAAATTTCTTGCGTGGTCCACGTGGGATTTTTCCTGCACATTAAAGAGAAATGAGCCGTTCGTGTTCACCGTGTGGCTCTTCTGTTTCAGGCATGGCGGGGGGACCAATTGACCCCAGGGAGATTTTGAAAGGCATCGAGGCCCTTCTGGGGAAGGATGGGGAGCTCCGGAGCCTGGAAGGTGTCCCAAAGGTGTTCGGGTGAGAGACTAAAGCTACCATGTTTTTATCTTTTATGTTAAATAATTAAATTAAATAATTATTTTTAATTTTTTTTTCCCCGCAGGCTGATGAAGGCCTCCTGCAAGATGGTCAGTAGGTGTATGTACCTGAACATCTTGCTGCAGACAAAATCCCACGATGTTCTGAACAGGTAGATGATTCGCACATCTTCTTTGTCCTGCTGCAGCCACTAAATCTAATGTTTTATTTAAAAAAATTAAAATAAAATCTCTTGGGTTTCACCCAGGTTTATAAGAGTCGGCGGGTACAAACTCCTGAATTCTTGGCTGACCTACTCTAAGACCACCAACAACACGCCCCTGCTGCAGCTCATCCTGCTCACGCTCCAGAAGCTGCCTCTCAAAGTAGACCACCTCAAACAGGTACTGAGTCCATCTACCAGCATCAATCAGCTCGCAGCACGTTTACACAATCTGACATATTTGTCTTCTTCCAGAACAACACTGCCAAGCTGGTGAAGCAGCTGAGCAAAAGTGCAGAGACTGAAGGTTAGTTATGGGATGAAGCTCCTGGTTGAAAAGCAACAAAATGTCTGGACATTAAAGATGCTTTGATTTGAAAGGGATGGGCAGAGTTTTGCTTTGAGACTCGGTTCATGTGAGTTTAGTTAAGAAGTCAGCTGGTGGTCAGATCACCAGAGAAGAAGTGTGTAAAGAAAGTTCATTTTTACTGTACAAAAATGTGTTTTGATTTGAAGTTGCACCCAGCTTGTATTCTGATTGTAGTGTTGATTGTGTTTGCAGAGCTGAGGAAACTGGCAGCTGTTCTCGTCGATGGCTGGATGGCTACGATCCGCTCCCAGAGCGTGTCGAGCAGTGGCAGCTCTCCTGCTGGTACGCATCCAAACTTGTTGGATTCAAAACCCGTGTCGTTTCCACCCCCCAGCTCCACAAGTCGTCTCATTTCTTTCTGTTTGTTTTCCAGATAAAAAGAAAAAGAAAGAAGAAAGCAAAGTGCCGGTGAGAGACGTGAAAGACAAGACCGGAGACGAGGAGAAGAAGAAGGAGAAACCCAAAGCCCACGCTCCCAGTCACGCAAAGATCCGCTCTATAGGTACCAGCTCAGCTGATGAGAACTGGTGCGACTGGTTTCCACAAGCTGATACTAACAGTCTTTGTTTGGCTTGTGCTGCAGGGTTAGAGATGGAAACTCCCAACCCAACTCCTCCGAAGAAGACCCCCTCTGCCCCACAGCTGGGCAACAAGTACAACATAAAGCCCCCACTTCTCAAGAGGCCCAGGTACTTAATGATGCAAGGTTACAAGGAAACAAAAACATAAGAAAATGTTCCATAATATAATATAATATAATATATTATAACATATTATATAATATAATACAACATAACATAATATAACATAATATACAATTATATTACATATAAAATTATATAACATAACATAATAAAATATAATATAAAATTATTTAACATAACATATTAGATAACATAATATATTATGTTATATAATATGTTATGTTAAATAACATAACATATGTTATATAATATATTATATAACATAACATAATAAAATTTAATACTAAATTATATAACAACATAATATATTATAACATGTTATATAATATAATACAACATAACATAATAAAATACAATATCGTTTAATAAAAGTGGGTCAAAAGGCTTTGTTGGACAGAGCTGACCTTGTTTTCTTATCTTGTGTTGCTCACTGCTGCCCCCCGGAGGCTGGCTCTAGTACTGACGTGTTTTATCTCTTCACAGCGCTGGTCCCTCAGATGCGCCACCGCTGGAGAAAAAGTACAAACCTTTAAACACCCCCTCCAACTCAACCAAAGAGATCAAAGTAAAGCTAATTCCTGCTCCACGTAAGTCTTGCACATTAAAGGCCCGTCTCTCTGTGTGACTCTGAGCATGTTGGTTGACGGTGTTTTTTCATCGTGTGTTTTCACCACAGCCATGGAGGGCACAGGATTTCTGGACGCCCTGAACTCTGCCCCTGTGCCTGGGATCAAAATCAAGAAGAAGAAATCCGCTGCTGCTACCAGTCCTGCTCACAACAAGGCTGCCTCGCCCACTTCAAACAAGGTACACACTGTGTAATTTCATATACTGTGAATGAGATATTTTGCTAACAAACAGTAACTACTGTAACCAGCTGAGCACAAAATGATTTCATCATTTATATGTTTTTATTCGTGTTTGTTATCTCAGACCAACCCGTTCGACAACAAAGCAGCTGGATATTCTTCGTCTGCTAAACCCTCGTCTCCAGAAACAGCCACGTCCGTCAGTTCTGACGACAAACAGGATCCGGAGCAGCCCGGAACTCCAGTTCCCCCTGAGGACCCAGAGGGCTCCAACAGCAGTAAGGCTCACAGTGAACATCATCTCTTTGTTGTTAAACAATATTTAGGGCTTTCAACAAATAGCTGTCAGTTAAAGTTGATAGAGATCAACTTAAACTGTAGTTTTATTTCATTTAACTTGATCTGATAAGTGACCATACTTGTATTTGAAGAAGCTGCCGTGCAGCACGAGGTCTAAGCCTGTTTCCTGTCACTGTAGGTGAGAAGCCCAACGCTCTGGCAGAACCACGAGGAGAAGAAGAAAATCTGACGAAGAAGGGCAAGAAGAAGAAGACGGTTCACTGGGCCGAGGAGGAACAGCTTAAACACTACTTTTATTTTGATTTGGATGAAACTGAGAGAGGTAAGAAGCTGCTGGTTTTCTCCCGTCTGAGCAGAAAATTAAAAAAAAAACTCACAAATGTTTTCATTTCTGCCGCAGTCAACGTCAACAAGATTAAAGATTTCGGCGAGGCAGCCAAACGGGAGCTCATGATGGACAGGCAGACGTTTGAGATGGCTCGCAGGCTTTCACACGATACCATGGAGGAGAGGGTGCCCTGGACCCAGCCCAGACCCCTGACCCTGATGGGCAGCCTGGTCGCCCCGGGGGCCAACAGCTCCGAAAAACTCACCCAAAGAGACCGTGAGATGGGCATCCTGCAGGAGATCTTCCTCAGCAAGGAGAGGTACGCTGCTGCTCACGCTCACTTCCTGGAGAGTATAGGCTCACTTATCACAGGAACAATATGTCGAAACAGAACAGGAAGTAGCTTTTATCAGTGTAAACTAAAACAGTGTTATGGTTTTACTCATGTATGGGACTAATACCACACCAGGGTTTAGGTCAGGATTTTTAAACTGGTAGAGTTACGGCCATTTTTATGCTTGCTCATGCTGTGGCGTCCATCTTTAATTGGACTGACTCCAAAAGTAAATTAGATGTAGATGTATACCTAATGATTACCTCCTGAAATCCCTTTTCACCTTTGGTAGTAAGTGATGAAAAAATATGGGATAAATCTTGTGCCAGCAGGAGTTTAATTTGAATTTCTGAATTTGAAATTGAATGCATTGGTTTGAAAATAAATTTCACTAAATTGAAACTGAATTTAAAGTTTTGAATTTGAATTAATTTGCTTTGAAACTGGATTTTGGTTTATTAAAAACTCATTTTGACTACTTTCACTTTTAAAATTCAGATTTTTGTGTCACATCCTGGTCCTTGAGAAAGCCAGGCAGAGTAATCAAACACAGATCAACAGATTTATGTTTCACTTTGGTGAAGTTTCCCTTCTGTATGTAACAGAGTTGATGCAATCCACTGTAAAAGTGACAAAAACAAAGTTATTTTATTGCAGTGATTATTTTTACCTGTATGTAGACACATTTACATCACATCATGGATCACATGTTGATCAGATGCTGCTGCTGACTGATCCATGATGTAAATGTGTCTACATATAGGTCAAATTAATAACTGCAATAAAATAACTTTGTTTTTGTCACTTTTACAGTGGATTGCATCAACTCTGTTACACACAGAAGATAAACTTCACCAAAGTGAAACATAAATCTGTTGATCTGTGTTTGATTACTCTGCCTGGCTTTCTCAAGGACCAGGATGTGACACAAAAGTCAGAATTTTAAAAGTGAAAGTAGTCAAAATGAGTTTTTAATAAACCAAAATACAGTTTCAAAGCGAATTAATTCACATTCAGTTCCTGTTGGCACAAGATTTATTCCATACAAAGCAGCAAAACAAAGAAATCAGTGAAACGGCTGCTGGATATCAGTAAATCCAGAACAAAAAAAAAACAGCACTACATGTTAAAACAGTTTGTTTGTTTTTTTACTGATGAGTTCTGACATTCTCTCTTCCCCAGTGTTCCTGACAGTCCACATGAACCAGATCCAGAACCTTATGAGCCCATGCCTCCCCGTCTCATCCCTCTGGACGAGGTTAGCCCACAGTAAACCCTCCGTTGTTCCTTCTGACGTTGTTCCTGTGTGCACCGTCTGACCACGGTCTGCTCTCCCCTGCAGGACTCCTCTACGCTGGATGAGAGTTACGCTGAGCCCATGGACACGTCGTCACTGCAGAGCTCCGCCCTGAACCAGAGCGAGAACTCCAAACTTCCTCCTGTCCTGGCCAACCTCATGGGGAACCTGAGTGGCAGCTCCCGCAGCCCACAGGCCACCAGCACCACCAGCAGCCCCGCCGCCCCCGCTGTCAACGTTCAGGAGCTGCTCTCCTCCATCATGGTAACGTTTCTCTGTCGTTGAATCAAACAGGGTGGTCTTTGTTTGCCCCCCGTGACTGTTTCAAACCTGTGTTTGTTGCTGTGAAGCTAACCAGTTGTGTGTCCTCAGGGAGCGTCTGGAAACCAGTCTGCTGAAGACCTGATCAAACAACCCGACTTCTCAGACAAGATTAAACAACTACTGGGTTCCCTGCAGCAGACCCAGAATCAGAGTGGTCCTCCAGCAGGTAAGCCTGGTCTCTGTGCATCATCATCATCATCATCATCATCATCGTCAGTTTGACTGATCGATTGATTTTCTCTGAAGTCAACCCAGGTCTGCTGGGACACGGTCCAGGCATGAACAACATGAACAACATGCCCATGCAAATGCCCATGAACGGAGGCTACCCACCCAACAACCCGCCGGGGGGTCCCCGCTTTAACCACCCCCCGCCTCCCCACAACCACGGCCCACCCTTCAACGCTGGCGGAGGCCCCCGCATGATGGGACCACCGCCGGGCCACGGCAGAGGAGACAACGGCAACTACTGGGGCGATGAGTTCATGAGAGGGGGCGCCCACCGGGGCGGGAACTTCCACAGGGGGGGCCGGGGTCGAGGAGGAGGTGGAGAGCCAGGCTTCAGGGGCAGAGGGCGAGGAGGAGGTCCCAGAGGAGGACACAACAACATGAACGGTACGTGGAGACCCCGACTCTGAGGAACCACACACAAGTCTGGAGTTTAGACTTAAAGTTGTCGAGGTCTGACTTACAAGAGGGTTTTTCTGTTCATCTTTTATAAAAATAACTTCATCAGTTTGGTTTAGTCACACACCTCCTCCTGCTGTCAAAGTGAAGTAAAGTACGGTGCTCAGTCTTTACTTTCACCATGTAACAGAACTGTCATATAAAAACCTGTTAGGATTTACCAAGTTTTAAATAAATCAAACGTTTTGATCCCCCTGTAGAAAAAAATACATGTAATATTTTCTAAAATATAAATAAAATATATAATGATGTCATAAAATACTAATATAATAATAAAATAAAATAAATAAAAGCTGAGCCGTGTTACGGAAAAATCATCATACAGCTTTTGCAATAGACTATAAATAAGTCTATAAAATACTTATGGAAAAAACACAAGCAAAAGTAGAAATACCTAAACAGGAAATGACTTGATGAGAAAAGAACTGAAACTGTTAACAAAAGTCGGAAAAGTAAAAATACCTTTACTCACTCTAATTTCTCAAACTTATTGGATCTGTGGACCCCTTATAGAGGTGAAAATACTCCAGGGACCCCCTCATAAACCTCATGCTGATTTAACACTAATTTACTGCCATTTTAATGCCATGAGAATCATTTTGTTTTAGTTGAGTTTATTTTACCGGTGCTTTGTTCCCCTTATTCATTCATGGTTTTTTTTTTTAAATTATTAAATGAAAAACAAAATTAACAGTTTATTTTAAAAAATTGAGGACCCTATAGCTCACAAACCCCTGGGGGTCCTGGGACCCCAGTTTGAGAACCCCTGCCTAAGAAAAAACTGTTGAATTTACTGAAGCAAACTAGTTACGAAGTAAAAGTAGCGATTTTATGAAATACTTGGTAAAATTACCAATCCTCAAGTACTGTAACAAAGTAAATGTACTTAGTACACAGCTGTGGCAGTATGTTCTGAGTGTCTGATCAGGATGTCGTCAGTCAAACATTTACTCAGCTCCTGGTGGACTGCTACCTTCAGCTGCCTCAGGAAACTGGTGTTTACACAGTCCACGCTCTGCACACACGCATTGTTGCACGGACGTTGTTCAGTTAGAAAACATGAACAAACTAAACAAACTGTCAGACTAAAGTGTAGACGATTATCAGTTAATGTGGTCCGAAAAACTAGTGTTTTGTTTTTGAGAAGAGTTGTTCTTATAAGCCTGAAAAACTCTTAAAATAAAAGCAAACTCTCCATTAGCTAACATTAGCCTAGCCAGGACAAAGGGGTGCACCAATAGAAAATTTCAGCCAATATCAGTAACCGAGAATATTATTGGTGTTATGACCGATAACCGATATTTACAGAGCCCACGTGGAGACATGGGTTTTTTTTTTTTTTTTTTTTTGCGTTCCCATGCAATACTATTGCGTTACCTCGCAAACGTTTGCGTTCCCTTGCAAAATTGTTTTGCATTCCCACGCAAAAGTTTTTGAATATGAACTGAATTAAATCAGACTTTTATTTTGAAATATCCACTTACCAAAACAGGATGTTGCCACCAGCTGAATTAAAGCAGTAGGCTAACTCGCTAACGGTGAACATGTGAATTTGTTAACAAACCAGCAGGCACAACAATAGTAGTGTTTCCATTGCAAATGTGCGCAAAACTTTGTCGATATTCTGTTAATAGTTTCGCAACTGCGGTGTTTCCATTAAGTAAGAAATGCTATTAAAGTCACACGTGAATACGTTTGTTCTCATGATAAGTCATTACAAACATGGCGGCGATGGATGTAAACACATAGCATGTTGCTACCACGACACTAGCGCTCATCATCAGAGGAGACGTCGGCGTCTTTTATCGAGGCTTTCCAGAGACTCCCTACTTGGGAGCGGCTACGTATGCTGTGTTTTTGGGAAAATGTAGTCGGTGAGTTTACTTACTTTCTTTTACTACTTCGGTGATTTCACTACTACTTTTACTTCCTGTTATCTTCTTCATCGTCGTTTTTTTTTCACCAGTAGAAACAGTCGGTTGTTGATCACGTGACTCCCGTGATGCGAAAAAAGTGTTTCCATTGCAGTTTTGCGAAAAACACCGATTTCGATGCAGCCAAAAAACCACCTCATCTTAGCGCAAAAACATTTTGTCGAAAAAAGAAATTTTTTTTCGAAATTGACGTGTTTCCATTGAGCAAATTTATTTTCGAAATTCTAACTTGCGCATTTTCATGGTCAATGGAAACACAGCTAATGAAAAACGACTTTTGCGAGGGAACGCAAAAGAAAAAAATCTCCCATGTCCCCTCACAGGCTCCGTAGATATTTACCAATATCACACAAACACAAATTATTTATTCACAAACACACTGGAAAGTTCATTATGGAAAATGGAAGAACCAGTTAGATAAACTCTGGAACAAGCAGTAACTGATTGTCTCCTCCCACAGACATGTCTAAGAGGCCGGTGTGTCGCCACTTCATGATGAAGGGAAGCTGCAGGTACGAGGAGAACTGTGCCTTCTACCACCCCGGTGTAAACGGACCACCACTACCCCCAAACTACCAGTCTAACCAGCACGGACACTAGGCGGCACAGTTCTGGTTTGTGGGACAGCAGAGCCAGAGTCTGGACTGAGACGGACTGCAGTCGGCCTCGGCCCACAGAACCATGCGTTAGAGGCTGCTGACTGATGAGATGTTCCTGTTTTTAATGGTGAGACTGAATCAAGCCACTGCACTTGACCACTAACTCTGCTGGAGCCCAGCTGACCAAACGATCCTTCTCTTCACTGTTGTACTTTGTGCCAAACGTGTTGCTGCTTTGCTCCTTCCAACCTTCATTATGTCACCAGTATGATTCCTACAGAACCGTCTTCCTGAGTGTTCAGAGGCTGTGATTAGGAAGCACAAGGCCCCAGAATGTAATCCTCTCTGACTTTTTAAACAACTTTGTATTTATCTCCGTCAGGACAGACACGCAGATATAAAGCCCACCTCCAGATTTTTATCTTTTCTTTCGGTGCAGTTTGATGAGATGAGGCTAAAGTGTTAGCTCTCTGCGCGTGTGTCGGATGTGTGGCTTCAACGTGACAATCTGTGATCAGCCCCACACCTACTGCCTGCAGGTTGTGTTTTCTCATGTGTACCCACAACATGTAGACAGTGTTCGATGTGATGAACAGATCTGTGCATCACTCAGATCAAGTGTTTTCTGTGAAAACAAATCTTTGTTTTGTCTCTTGTGGGACTAAGAATGTAATGTTTCCTGTTGATCCTTCTGTTGTTTATTTCAGTTTGCTTTTGATACAGTCTTGAACTCGGAAAAATGTTTTCAGTTTTGTCAATAGTAAATATTTGTATGAATATAGGATAAACATTCATACATATTAATTTCCTTTTTTTTTGTACAAGTGTATTGAATAAATGCCCAACTATAATTGCAGCAGTGTTTTTCTACACTTTCATGGTTTGGATATGAAATATTTACGTGTATTTTTCATTTTAAAAAAGCAAATTATTTATTAGCTGTAAAAAATATTAATATCTTTTACGTGAGTGACAGGATTGGAAAATAAGAATAAAGTGCACATCCTGAAAGTATGAATTTGAAGCATATTTTGGTTTAATTACAGCTTTTTTATACATTATAAAATGAATCAATGTGGAATACATACAGCAGGTAAAATAAGTATTGAACACGTCACCATTTTTCTCAGTAAATATATTACTAGAGGTGCTAATGACATGAAATTTTCACCAGATG